TAGCAACATTTATAAATTGTATGTCAATTGTTATAAACTAGAAGCCTTTTGGATTTCTGTATATAGTATATATAGGTAATACTTTGTTTTGGTTGTGGTGGGAGAGGTTCTTGTTGTAATTTTGTTGTTGCTTATTAATTTGTTGTTGTTGTTGTTGTTGTTGTGTAATAGGAGCGAGCGTTTAGTAAAGCACAATTAGCATTGGTTTAGTAGTATAACGGTTATGTTGATCGAACCCGTAATATTAAATAGGTTGCTTGGTATATTTGTTTGTTTTTTGTTTTTGTTTTGGATGTTATGTTTGTTTGGGTTGTTGGTATTTGTTTGGTTTGTTTTTATATCTTAAGGGCCTAACGTAAATTTGTTGTTGTTGTTGTTGTTGTTTGTAATTTGTTTGTATTGTAATTGTAATTGGACGGTTAGTAAAAATATTGGAAAGTAAATACAAATAGCGTTAGCTTCGATTTGGATTAGTGTGGTTTGTGTGTTAAAAAGGGCGAGCGCGGGAAAGAGATTGCATGTATGTATGTATGTATATGTGTGTGTGTGGGTGTGTGTGTGGAGCAGGGCGTGTGTATGTGGTGTATGCATATGTATGGATGTGTTTCATTATTAGTAGCGACATTGACCGCTTTGATTACTGCAATTGGTTTGCCTTTGATTTGGTATTTTTTCTTTAAACATAATTTTGTCTATTCTTGCGCTGTTCGAGCAGCCGCGTGTGATTGTGTGTGTGTGTGTGTGTATATGTTTTTGTATGTGTGTGGCCAAAACCATTGTGTTCTTCTTGCTGTTGCTTTCACATTTTTTTCTACTAACACTAACATTTGAATTGTTGCGTGTGTCTGTTTGTGTTTGTTTGTTTGTTGGCTGGCTTGTTTGTTTGTGCGTGTGTGTGTTTTTTTGTTGTTGTTGGTGTGTGTGTGTGTATTGTGCATTACACTTTGTTTTGCTGTTTCAGCTGCATTTCACGCGAGGGGGGCCTTTCATGTTGCTTTGGCTTTAATTTAGTTGGGCCACTGGTAGAGGGGGTGGTGTTGGGGGGGGGGGGGGGGGGGGGGGGGGGTTGGTTGACTGGTCACGCCTAACGGTTTCGTAGCTCGATCGCTGGTTTACAAACTTCGATACATATACAAAAGTGCCAATCTGTGTGCGGTGTTGGACTCGTATTCGATATTTATGCATTGTGACAAATAGGGCGCAACGCAGCCTTCAAGTATTATTGTTGCATACTTTGTGGCGCGTTGCTCGAAGGAACCGATCATTATATGGGCCAAATAAATAGCATGATGTGCTCGAATGTGTGTGTGCGTATTGGTGAATTCTTATCGAGACTGAGTATGAGTGTGCAAACATAAATGATAACAATATGTTTTTATTTTTTGTTTCGCTTAACAGCAACGACTTCTTATACGCTTTGTCGATGCTGCTGTTGCTGTCGTTGTTGTTGTTGTTTTAAATGCTGCCATTAATATATATATATATCGCAAATTGATTGTGAATGTTGAAAAGGAAAACAAGAATGCAACCAAACTTAACTGAAAACAAAAACAAGAACACATTGAAAACTGCTTAGAATACAATTATTTCAATTTACACATAAATGTATTTAAAATTGTTGTTGTTGCTTTTATTAAATTTTGATTTTGAGGGTTTTATTTTCTCCGTTTTTGTTTTGTTGGTTTTTGATTGTTGGTGTGGTTGGGAAGGGGGGTAAATTTTTAGTTTCTGGATTGGTTTTGTTTTTCTTAGTTTTTAGACACAAGCACGACGACGTACAAAGTAAAAAGGAAAAATTCAATATACATATATAATATATATATTTAAATGTATATGTATATATTTGGAGCTTATAATGCGTTGCGTTTTACACGTAAAACGGAAAATGTACATCAACAAAATGTGTTTGCAAAATTTGTAAGTTCTGGTTGTGGTTGCAGTTGCTGTTGCAGATGATATATTAAAATGTCACATTACAAAAACAAGAAGGAACAATTAATAAGATTCGTTAATTCAATCAATAATAAGAAAACATCGAAAACATTGGGATCAATAATAAATGAAACTGTTTACATTAATGATTAATTGAAATGATTTAAGCAAAAATCTCGAAATGGCTTGAAGTGGAGTTAGTGGACTTGAGCTTCTATTGATGTCTAATGCAAAAATATGCCATAATCTAAGGGGGATTCTGCTCTATATGACAAATAAAATGGGCATTTATTTGAAAAAAAGCAATGGCTTTCCATAAAACTTTGTAAGCTTTGTGAGTAAACTTTTTGAACTAGAACATGTGCTGATGCTTGAGTGAAATGAACTCTTGAAATTATAGAAGTTAATAATTTTGATCAGTTAGTTTGGCATTTCAAACAAGTCACTTATACTCCGAGTCTCGCCAACGAATCGAGTGACAATTGCGCCGACAGCAAAAGTAAAATAAAAATGAAAATATATAAAATATTCGCATATATGCTTATCTCGCTTAGGTATAGCAACTAAAAATGTCGCCAGGCTGGGGGTGGAGGCACAGGCTGCGGCTGTAGCTTTGTTTTTTTTTTTATAACATTTTTGCAACACATTTGCGACACGAACAAATACTATTTAATTGGCAATTTGCATAATTATTTAGCTTGTAAATAATAATAAGGAAAACGTGAATACAAAAAAGGAATTTCATCATTTTTTGTTTCGGTTTTTGGTTTTAGTTATTTAGGCAAACATTAACAAAGAAAAAACATGAAGTAATAAAAAACCGATCGTTTGCTTTTTTTTTGTTGTTTTGTCGGGATTATGCACAAAAAATAAAAATAAAACATAAATATGTCTGCATACAATAATTAATATATGTATAAATATATTTATATATGTATGTATGTATATATGAGCACAGATAATTGGACGTATGTAGTTTTGTTTTTATTTTTATTTTGAGGAGTGCTTTTCTCCTCTATACATGTAATTTTTGTTTTTTTTTTTTCAAAATGTTTTTTCTTTATTTGTTTTTAATACGAATACAAAATTAGCACACAAATAAACGAAACGAACGAACAAAATGGTTGGTGGGGGCTGGGGGCTGAGGGGCGGGTTGTAACGCATAAAATTAATATAACAAATATATGTAAGAAACAAATACACGGAAAATATATATTTCATTTAGTGTAACATTCCTTAGCTCGCTAAGTACTAGGTATCGCGGTTACGAACTGCATTGGGCATACTATAGTATTGCCACAAAATCGGATCTGATTTGAGTTTCTTAAATACAGATATGCATGTAAAATATCATGAGGAGTCGTTGTGGTGTATGAGAGAATCGTATTGTGTGTGAGAAGAGGCGTTATGACAACTATATTCGATAAACGACTTTGCTTGACTTCGGGTGTAAGCATGAAGTGTGTGTGTAAATCAAAATCTGAGTTCTACCAAAAAAAAAAAAAAAACAAATAAATAAAAATCAAATGATAATTACAATAAGGAACCTGCTCTAAAGAGCGCAGAGCAACGTGGACTTGAAATATGAAGATAAAGCAGCGAGACGGACGAAATACTTCTCTGGGTGTGCGTGTGCGTGTGTGTGTGTGGGTGTCTGGCTAATTGACATGCCTGTGCCTGCGTGTCTGCGAGTGTGTGTGTGGGTGAGCCACAAAAGCTTTTAGAAAATTTGTGTAGCACGCTTTCGGGCGCACGCATGTGGCAAATTGTTGCGGCCTAACCGCAACATAACAACATCAATTAAAATGTGCGTCAAACTTGCAAACTTTGCTAAACACTTGTGGCAACTGCGGCCAGCATTCCCCACACATACGCGTATAAGTACATACATCTATATATGCATATATATATGTAGATGTGTGTGTGTGAGAAGTTAATTAATGTTGCACAGTTAATAAAACATGAGTGTGTCGGTGGGCCGCTTATCTTCATTTTTCACACGCCCCTGCACCCTTTTCTGCAGCTAGTATGCACGAGTTCTTTACTCTGTTTGCTTGGATGTTGTGTGTTTTTGTTTAGTCTTTACTTTTTCATCTTCTTCTTTACATTTTATAATCATCATCATCATCGTAATCGTAATTGTAATCGGACTTATCATCATCATCAACATCAACATGTGTGTATGTGTGTGTGCGGTGGTGTTGGTGGTGGTGGTGGTTGAGGCGGTGGCGTGTGTGCGTGTGTGTGTGCGTGTGTATTTGTTATAACGTTTATTACGACTAACTGTTGCTCTATTGGCAGTATTTGTTGTTTTTTGGTTTTGGTTCTTTGGTACGGAAATAAATGATAAAACATTTACCATCGAAACAATCAAACAAGAAAGAAATTTATACGCTTTTGTTAAACTTTTAACTAGACTTTAAACGTAAAAAAAAATTAGAAAAAAAAATCATGTGTGTAAATAAATTGCTGTTCTTATTCATTTCTGTTTTTTTCTTCTTCTTCTTCATCTTCTTTTAAATAAATCTGTTCGCTTTGTTGCTGTGAAAGTCAGTGGCAAAAATGGCCAAGTATGGCTTAGTATTTTTTGGCGGTATTTTTGGCTGTTGCTTGGTATTTTTGCAAGCGCTAGGCCACATTACGCTAGAACTTTGTTTTTTGTTGTTGTTCTTTTTTTCTTTTTTAAATTATTTTGTGTTTACTTTGAAATAAAATTAAATGACAAACAAAGTGAAATAAAACAAATAAACCAAAAGTTAAATCAAATTGTAATCAAAACACACATATATAACCGATCTATATATATGTTTATATGCATATGTTCTCACAGAAATTAAGGCAAAAAGTAAAAAAAAAATATAGTTGACAAATACTTTCAATCATTTTACGGTAAAACAAATGATACATTTCTTCAACGTAAACATTTTTTTGCTTTCTCTTTGGTATATTTCTGGATTTTTTTTTTTTTTTTTGGTATTTTGCATTTGATGTAAAAAATGTAATAATGAGCGTTTGAGCGCAAATAGAGCGAAACAATAGAGTTTTAATAGAGGAATGCATGGACTCACCTTGGGGGGAAACAGCGAGTTCACCACTTTGTTGTAATTGCGAGTTGAGACCTGAATTGTGAATTGTTCCAATGGACAGAGATAGATCGAGAGCGAGAGCGAGAGCGAGAGAAAGAGAGAGGGAGAGATAGGAGAAGCGTTAGTCGGATCAATCAATTGGTAATATTGCAAAGCAATGTCTACTAACTGTACGCACCGAGCAGTGCTGAATGATCGAGATTGGTCATGGGAAAGTTGAATGCGGCGGCCGGAAACATTTTGCTCTCAGCTGGCGATATTATGTAGGGCTGTGCGGCATGGTGAGAGGCGAGACTGTCACCGATTTCCTCATCGTTGCCCGAGCTGCAATTAGAAATGGACATGGTTAGCTTAAAACGTGGACAGATCGTGGAATCTATTCAGGATCTATTCAATCTTCATTCCTATTCATAGGTTATACTGTGATTGTGCTTTAGCATTTAGTCAGTTAACTAAACTAGACTCCTGCTTTAAATAAGCAGCTGCTTACTGGGGCTTTCCTTAATTTAATGCTAAAGATGTGCTATAGATGATGCCTACCTCAGTGAGCCTTTGCCCCCATCACCACTGCTAGAGCGATTGGCATCGTGTTCCCCGGTCGAATCATTGCTGTGCTCATCATTCGCATTGGCATTGTTGTTGGAGCAGACCAGTTCCATGGGTTCGGACTTGACATCATCGACGGTACGAGCCAGGGGCGAGGGTGTGAGGCTGCCTAGTTTGTCGCTCACCGATATCCCATTTCCATTGGCATTGCCAGGGCCGCTGTTGCTATTGCCTGTGGGTCCATTGCCTGCAAAAGAAATGGGTTCGATTAGGTGAGGGCATAAAGAATGGGTATGGGGCATTACTTACGTTTCTCTTCTTTGAGCGGCGGCGTATTGTTGTTGTTATGCTTGATCGTGCTGAAATCGGCCGGTGTGGTTTGGGGCGAAGCGCTGCGCGCGTGTAGCGGCAAGTCCGGGCTGTTGTTGTTGCTTGTGGGGAGTCCATTGTCCGCGCTACGCATGCGCTTCATCACGTGCGACGTCTCATCAACGGCAGCGGTGTTCCGGTGCTGGATCATTGCAATCCGCTTGAGCAACTGATGCTGCAGCTGTGGTGGTGGTGGCGGTTGTGGCGACCCAGCCCCCTGGCGGCTACTGTACAGAGCGGACGCACCCCCATCGTCGAGCAATGTGGACGCATGATGAGGATGTGGGTTGAGTGGTGTTCGCACGCCGGCATTAGCCAGATTCTGTATTTGTGCCAAGTGCTGCATAGAGAGAGGTAGAGCGAGCGAGAGAGAGAGAGAGAGAGAACGAGACAGAGAACACAAGCGGGAGCAAAGAAAGGTGAGAAGGAGATTAGATTATTTCAAAGAACTTAAGCTGTCGACTTGAAAATATTTGTAATGATTTCATTGAATTTTTCCCTGTTCAGACTGATTTTAAATAATATTCAAACACTTACGCTATGCGTATCCTCGGCCTGTTGTTGTGTGAGGCCCGAGACGCGCAACACCTCGGCTGTTTTTAAGAAGGACTGCAGCGACTTCTGATGCACATTGACCTCGCCATGATAAATGAATTCGACCAGCGAGTGCAGATCCAAGAAGTTCACATCTTGCAGCAATATGACGGGATGTTTGCAGGGTGTGCTCTGTAAATGAAGATAAAGGGAGAGGATGACGTTAAAGGTTTTGTGAAAGGTACACGCAAAAGAAATGGAACGCTCTAAAGAAAAAGCTTCGTCCAAGTGTATATTGTTATACTATTTGTTTATAAATTATTATTTGTTTTGTTTTTTTTTTAGAATAAGGATACAAGTGTGCTTTCCAACTCCCAAACTATAAAACATGGAATATGGAGCCTTGGGGAACATTTTTCTAGACTCCAACGGGTAAAGCCTAATTATTTCTTGTTCGTCTTCTTATTGCTGGTTAAATGTTTGAGTGGTTTCGGTGCCTTGCATACCCTACCTTACATTTGTATGGCTACTTTTCATACCCTTCCCTTGGCGAGTTTATTTGCTGAAGCAATTATCGAGTCGCTTGCAAAATGTGCAACCTACGCACATGTCTCTCCCTCCTCATACAAGTATATTCGTATTTAGTGTGCAGTTTTGACTTCTCTGCTATCTATATGGTTGACAGAGCCTGCTGCCTAGCCCATACACACCACTCTGCTCCCCTGCTTTTGGCTCGACAAGCGAGTAGACAACCTTCAATTGTCGTTTAAATGTCAACGGGCTGCGATTTGAAGTTTCGCATTGCATGGTCGAGCTTTGTGTCGCTCTGTTGGACTCGTAGTTGTGTTTTTTTTTTCCTTATGCATTATATTTTGCGTTCAGTTTGTTTTATGGCACAAGCACACACACGCACACATGTATGTATGTATGTATGTATAATTCCTATCTTGCCGTCCATGTCTGCGTTCAGGGCCGACGCCATTGCGTGCATTGCGTTGCCTTCTTTACAGTCGTCGCTGTTGCTGTCCGCTTTCCAGTTTAACACGCGTCCAACTAATTTACACACGCATGTGTGTATGCATGTGTGTGTGTGTTGGTGTGTATTTATGTCTGTTTGTCTGGCTCGCTGCGCACTCTGCTGTAAATTTCACTTTATCAAGTGCCAGCAACTCAAAGCAACTTCAACAAAGGGCGCTCTGCTGCTAGAAATTGGGTCAAGCTTTAACATCTTTTGTTGTTGTTGTTGTTGTTGCTTGTTGACTGGTTGGTTGGTTGGTTGGTTTTATTTTTGATTGCTCAGTCACATTTACACTCACACTCACACTCACAGTCGCAGTTTCCAGTTCCCAGTTCTCAGTTTATTTGTTTGTTGTCTTATTTACTTGCGCGCTGCCTGTGCAGTCTTCGTTTGTCTGGCCAATGCACACTCACATTATGTCCATAAATATGCGCACATATGTATGTATATACATATATTACGCCTATACATATATATGTATATATGTACGTATATATATCAAAGATACTGTGCTTATTTGCCTTTGAGTTAGCGCTAAAAGTTTGACTGTGTGTTTGTTCATTTCTGCACTTTTGCAAGAGGAAAAACAGATTACAAAATTGAGGTCAATACGCCTGCGATCAGTGCCAGGCAGCAAAGGCAGCAAGAAAAGTGAAACTCTCTACTTGCCAGCCACTAAATTTCAAAAACAAATATGAGCTGATGCTGCGCTTGAAAAGCAAAATGTGCTTCTTTTTTGTTTGTTTTTTAACAAAAAGGAGACGGAAACTGATGGCCAAGCATTGTGACAAGTGCCGATTTTCACCTGCTAGCTCTTCAGTATTACTATATATTTTACTATGTATATTCCTATTTGTAAAGTCTGAGAGTTATGCTCGTCGAAGTCAGGGCAGTTTTAAATGAAAACACTCTGCTAATACAAAAAAAAATGTTTCTAAAGTAAAATAGTCATATCTTGTTCACGTTAAAAAACGATAATAATGCTGACTAGTACAAGCTACTGATTTTATAGATTTTATAGACTGGTTGCAAGGCAGAAAGTGCTTGATTCGTCCACAATGCTTGTCGACAGTTGCCATTAATTCGATTACTAATTATATTTACATTACTTAGACAATGCTTCCTTTCTTTATAAGCTGTGCTATGAACATTAGTGGCTGTTGAAGGAGCGGGTTTTATTTAGCTTTACATAGTATTATTATTATTATTATTATTTTGTTTACTTAATATTAATTTATAATTTAAACTTGAAAGAATGACAAAGCCTAGAACCATTGAAATCTTGCGCATATCAATTATGCTTTGCATGAATAAATCACTGACTTTATATAAAAATGTTATAATCTATTACCAAGTCTCAGTCTCAGTTCTATATATGTAGATCAAGCTCGTATTTATTTTATGGCGCATTAATCGATTTGCAAATTGGTAGCCATTTTGTCGTTCTGTTTCTGTTTCATTTACAGCTGCTAACAAGAATTGCAGAAAAAAAGACGACAACAAATAAAAGAAACACTTGCCAACCGGCAAATGCAAATTCTGTGCAGCAGCAACAACAATGACATGGGCGTGCTACTAACTTAATGAATGGGTGGGCGTGGCAGGGCGCCCAAAGTCGCCCACTGTCTGGCTGATGGCAATTGAGCGCGTGTCGCTGACAGCTTACACATAGAGAGAGGCCCAAAAATGCTTTTAGGTGCGCCCATTAACCTCGACAACTGCCCCTTTTCCCCTTTCCCCCTCCCGGCCATATTGCTGCTGCCACTGTCCATTGCATTGCTTTATTCTATTGCCCTGCTCATTTACACTTGCTTGTTGTTGTTATTGTTTTTGTATTTTGTGCAGTTTAAAAACCTAATTAAAATAATGCGCTGCAGTTAATTAAATATTTATGCATAGGCGCAAGAGGCGCTCACAAATGCGCCAAATGTGCCCTCACTTCCCTCCCCTCAAGCCGTTTGCTGTGCCCTGGCAATAGTCTTCAAAAAAAAAAGCAAGAAAAGAAAGGAGAAAAAAGAGTGGACTTTTGTGCTCCCATCCCGTCCTCCTTGCCCGCACCACCACCTGCTCCACTGCAGTTGTCTTCATGGCTGTTGTTGGTTGTTGTTGTATTTCAAATTGAATTTATAAACTTTTGCCTTTTTGTTGCATTGCCAGCAAACTTTTGTATACTAATTTCTTGGTATATAATTATTTTACATTTTATTGTTGTTGTCCTTGTTGTCTGACTGTCTATCTGTTTGTTTGTTTGCATTTTGTTGCTGGCTCGCATTTAGTTGACCTTTTTAACAAATTAAATGTTGATGTTGACTCGCTGTTGTTACATTTGCCAATTGTTGGACATCCGCCTGCACCTACACCTTCACTCCCAAACCAAGTACCTTCTCCCAGTGTCATTGGTGGGCTTGTACTGGGGGTGCAACGCAGGCTCTGTACTTCATTATCATAGCGCTGGCTGTGCATTTCTTTGGCTGTTCCTGCCTGCCCGTTCTTCCCTCTGCTGTTGCACAATTGTGAGTCGACTTACTGTCATTTAATTTGGGCTCTTTTTGCTCAAGAACGAAACTTTTGTCATTTATTAGTTGCTCATTTTTTGTGTTGTTAGCTACAATGTAGTACTGGACATGTTTTAGGCGTAGCGATCTGAAATACATTAGATGCTTCAGTCGCCACTGCCGGCCCAGAAGCTTCTGGTACTTGCTCAGGTTAAGTTAAAGCAGAAAAAAGAAACAATAATACGAGTGAGTGGGAAGGGCCATTCGAAGCAATCGTTGAAAGAAAACTGCAGCGATTGTGAGCTGTTGGTAAAATACTTAAGCAGTCTTAAGCGATGAGGTTTCTGAGTTTAGTTGACAATTAAAAGAAAAGCGTCCACGACGGAGAAGCCAAGTGGTCGGTAAAGCAAATCTTGCTCTGAATATTGAAAAAATGCTGCTTAGATCATAGCTGTTTCGTTGTTGGAGGCAGTGAATAATTGTGGAAAATGGAAACGCAGTTGCTCGATTTCATTGGTGTATAAAGAATAAACGATATAGATAACAATGACATTTTTATAATACTGTATGAGTATGTTGGGATGATCTGCCCTAAAGAACTGCCATACAAGTACATAGTCGAAGAATATTCCATTTTATCAATCAAATCTTAAGAATCTCAAACTGAGAATCCAGATATTTATTTCTATTATATAGCCATGCTAAGGCGCGATTCTGATCAGTTTTCTTGTACTAGTTGTAGAGTTAAAGTGTATGATCGATGGCTTTCCTTCTAAACCGTCATCTAATGGGACTCTCTGACTCTACCTTTGCGGCTAAAAACTGTTCAAGGCGTTGCAAAAGTTGAGACCTCAGCCCATTCCATTGTACTAGTATGTCTGTATGATGCATCGTTCATGGCACTAAGCTGCGCAAGGGAAACTTAAGTATTTATAAAATATGTAGTATGTACGGTTATTGTGAATTTTTCGTTATTTATTTCATTATTTTGCTTCATGTTCGCGTTCTCCTTTAACTAACAAAACTTACTACACTAATTTGTTGCTGCGCTTTTTGTTTGCCTGCGCGTATAATTTACAAAACGAAGTTTTCTATCATGTTAACAAATCATGTCTAAAAGAAATATTTACACACACACACACACACATACAGGCCATGGAGAGGGGGCGAGGGAAGGGCGCCAGAGCTGCACACACAAACAAAAATGAGAACTTTATAATTTATATAATTTCTGCTGCAATGGCGACTGCCATTGCACGTCCTCCGCCTAACAACAACAGCGGCAACGTCGACAAGAGGAACAACTAAAAACAGCAACAACAACAACAACAACAACGACGACGACAACATCAACAACAACAACAGCAACAACTAAAGCTACAGTGACGCCAATGACAGCTCGAACAATGCAAAATGGCAAACTTTGACTCAAAGTTGAGTTGTGGGGCGGATTGGAGTTGGCAAGACAGGAGGGGAACTGGGCTGGGATGGGATGGGCTGGACTGGGCTGGGCTGGGGAGGCTAGGTCTTGAGCTAGAGCTCGAGTTCGAGCTAAAAACCGCAATTGCGTGCAAATATTTTCAATGCAGAAAAAGCACAAGTTTTGGTGGGCAGACGAAAAGGACGACTTTGAATTCGACGACGATGATGACGACGTTTACTCACATAATTTTAATGTCATAATAAAAATAATAAAGCAAAGTACGATGTGGATAATGATGACGACGGCATTGGCTGCATTAGTTGCTTCGCCCTTTCGTGGTCGCGCCCCATTCCGTCTTCCCTTCGTGCCTTTCTCTATTTGGCATTTGCCGTGTGCCGCGCGTGCAACGTCAAAGTTTTCGCAACTTGCGACTTGCAACGCAACCCAAAAACAATAACAAAAACAAAACTAAAACCAAAAACACACAGCAAGATGAAGGGTTATGAGAACTGGGAGAATAATGGTTGGTCGTGCCGAAGGGGGTGGGGCGGGTTGGGGAGAGAGTGAGGAAGGCGGGTTGGATAGCTGTGGCAGCTGGCAAATTAGCGCAGCAGGCATCCACGGCTGGCATTTACACTTGTCTCTGTGGCTGAGTCGTTTGTTCATTCGTTCGTTTATCGCCGCAGCCGCATTAAAGTTAGTTTCGCGTTATTGTTGTCAGGGAGGGGGTTTGGCAGGGGCCATATGCCATAATTATACATATTTAATATTTGTCTCTATTCTGAGTACAGCTCTTTAGTTTTAGGAGCATTGCGAACAATCATACGCCCCGTATTACAACCTAATTATCACATTCAATTGTAATTAAAATGAGGAAAAATTAACACAATTTCTCATCAACGAAAACTAATGCATTCATTTATAAGATTTTTTCTTGTCCTAATTATAAATAAATAATACATAAATAATTGTAATTGATGGATATGCCCCAGAGTTGAGAAGTTATTTCTCCCTAATGATCATCAGATAATTCGTAAAGAAAGGTCTTTCTTTTAGGAGCATTGCGATCAATTATACGCCCCGTATTACAACCTAATTATCACATTCAATTGTAATTAAAATGAGGAAACATTAACACAATTTCTTATCAACGAAAACTAATGCATTCATTTATAAGAGTTTTTCTTTTCTTTTAATAACTAATAAATAAATAATTATAATTGATTGAAATGCCCCAGAGTTGAGATGTTATTTCTCCCTAATGATCATCAGCTAATCGTAAAGAAAGGTCTTTCTGTGCTTTTCTATTTGCTGTCATCGGTTTTTTTTTTTTTTTTTTGTTGTCATTGCTTTCTCCGTTTACAACTAAGTATAAATGCAAACAAAAACGCCCCAAGAACTACAAAAACTATAACACATAGTTGCCTCTCTCTACCTTGATAATAGTATGTGGTACGAGTATAATTCATGTACACACATACATTTCAGCTAAAGGCACAAAATTATTTTTGCCAAGCAATAAAACCAGCCCGGCTGTTTTACGCTGCGACTATATACTGTATAGATGTATGTCCCTGACTTGGCAGCATGTGTGTGTGTGAGTTGCACGTAAACTTCAAAAAATTGCAGAATAGATTCATTTTATTAATTAGGTTGCTATTAAAGTGGCGCTATAGAAGCGCTTTACACAACAACAACAACAGCAGCAATAAGAACAACATGAATTTCAAAGGTGTACAAAGTTTACGACCGGCAGCCTTCCCTCTTTCTATATCCGTGTCCATTCCCTGCATTTGTTTGCCGTTGGATGCCGTGCAGTCGCCAGTTTAGCCATTTGCTGCATTGCTGCCATTGTAACTGCAGCTCCGCATCCCCCCACTATAATCCCTCCACCCCCCTTTTGGCTTTCCAGCAACCATGGTCGTGCTCGTAGTCCTCATCGTCTTTAGGTCGCTCGTTGTTGCCGGTTTTGTGGTTTGTTTATTGCCCGTTGCCCTTTTTGCTTTTAGGTTTCGCGTGCCGCGTTTTCAGCACTTTTTAGTGCCATGGCATGTTGTTTTTGGCTTGCCTGTCGCCTCGACTTTATGACCGTCGGTCTGTCTGTCTGTCTGTCTGTCTGTTTTTCTTTGTCTCTATCTGCCAGTCGCATTTTTGTCTAATTTACTGCATATCAGGCGACTGCAGCACACACAAAAGTTGCAAACGTCAGACTAGTTAGCGAAATGATGGATCTGTCTAATCTCTGAACACTCGAGTAGATTATGCAGTATTAAGTGGCCGAATGTTCTTTTTTTACGGCAATAAATTATGAATTTATAGACGAAGAATCATTTATAAATTAGTTAGCCATAGTATACTGTCACTGTGAGTTTCACTCAAAAAGTAAAGCAATCCCCTACTGATGTTTCGGTGGTTGTTTCCTAAAGTTCTTCACTTCAATGACATAGCACAATTATCTCTGTATTTATTATAGTTATTTAAAATATTATTTCATCTTTCTAATCATCTGGCAAAGCACCGCAATTAACTGTAGAAGCTAGACCCACGCGGCGTATGCGCAATGTGCACCTGCACTATAGAAATGGAGACAAGGCAAGCGGCTGAGGTGCGAAGAGCCAACTTCTATATATACTTGTATGTACCAATTCTATAAAGTTGGGCCTATGCCTATATATTAGTCTCTATAGTATATGGGCTTGTAAATGGCAGACAGGAAACAACAACAATAACAACAATTCGCTGCGGCGGCTGCTGTTGTTGCTATGTAGGTCATCACGTTAATAAAACGCAGCAATAAGGAGAGCGCAAAAAAGACTAAAAGGGAAGAAAACAACATTTAATTGCGAAACGCACATGTGGCAACTGCAAAAGATGCAGAAGAAAACGCCACAAAAGTTGCCCGACTACTCTGCACTCTGCTGGATCCAAACGAGATCTGTCGTGATCTTGTAAGCAGGCTGCCTGCGCCCTTTGCCACAAAAGCACGACTGCAGCCATATACAAGTATACATATACATATAGATATAGATATATACATATGTATCTATATGTATGCGTTTGCATCTGCATCTTGTGCTGCTCAGGGTGAACAAGTTTCACGCACACACATCTCTAATATAATGCAACACTTTATGTTGCCTGGGACCTTGCAGCTCGTTGGTCTGACAGCTCCATTCGACTGTCCGTCCGTTCGTCCATTCGTACGTCTGTCCATCTGCCCGTCTTTCTGTCTGCCTGCTACTTATGCCCTATTCACACTTTGCAATGCCGACAAAAAATGTCTACGAAGCTATATTGTGAGTTGCATATCAAATAGAACTTGAACAACATATTTTTTAAATTGATAATTAATTGGACGAAAACTTTTCAGTTAAAGCCACTTCTTCGCGTAATATCGAATGGATATTTATATTGGATAAGAAAAAGTGCATTTTTTAAATCGACAAATTGAAGGGAATACCTCATCTAAGGAAAAATGTGGAGTGACTTGAACAATTGGGAAAACTAAAGGCAGTAATAATCGGGTGTGCTCGGCTTTGATTTAGTTGATATTAAATAATAATGTTGGAAGACATATATCTCTTTTTTTAAGGATAAGTTAGTGTTGGTCTTTTTGATTAGTAAAATCTCCCTAGTTGTAGGATTGGTGGGTAATTTTGTTTGTTTAGTCCAAGCAACTTGCAGAACTCTGCCAAAGCGTATGAATGGGTTTCATTTACAAGTATTTTTTGCTTAGACCAAGCATTTTGCAAAACTCTATTAGAGCGTATGAACGGGTTTTATTTGCCAGGATTTTGTAAAGCTGAGGCTTATGTTAAAATTGCGAAAACTCTTTTTGTACTCACCTTCAAGAGATCACGAAAGTAGGGACTGCATGCGGAGAGCACCACACGATGGGCCTTTATGCTTCGTCCCTCGCAGGCCAATGTCACATCGACAAAGTCCTCGTCATCGCGCAGATTCTCAAATGCGGAGGTGATGCTACTCTGGTAATTGTTCCAGCGCAAACAGAAATGTTGTGTGTCGTCCATGTTGATCTGTGATTGTTGTTGCTGTTGCTGTTGCTGGTAAGGGTATGATGGATACGTGTTGCTGCTGTTGTTCTCAATTGTTTTTTGGTGAGTGATGATGTTGCTTCGATTTATCCTTGCACTTATTGCTTCCTGCTCCTCAATTCTTAGTTGCCTAGCGTTGTCGTTGTTGTTGGTGTTGGTAGTGACGTTGTTGTTGGTATTGTTATTATTATTTAGATCGTCCTCAACCAAAACAACGCTAGCTTTCTTGGTTGTCACTTTTTTGCGTATTTTGACGGCTTTAATTGCAACGTAGGGTTTGATAATGTTTCTTGTTGTTTCTTTGTCAGCTTTTTGCTGCAGATGTTGTTGTTGTTGCTGTTGTTGTTGGTACTGTTGTTGTTATATTAAGGTTGGTGAAAATTATTCTCACACACACACAGATAAAAGTTGTCGCGTTGTATTTATTTGTTACTTTGTTTGCCTTACATTCAGTTGACTATTTAACTAATTAACTGTTAGCTGTAACGATAGAGAAATAAACAGAGAAGTCGGGAAATTAATTAGAGATAACAAGTGATCATAGTCTTACATTTAATTAAAATAGGCATAAATATTTCACCTTAAAATACTTAGTTCTGATATCTTAAATACAACAGACAGTCACAACTGCAGATTGTTTCCAATATCGATTCCAATACTTAATGTAAAACAAGTAAAATTTTCAATTTCAAAAGACAATTGCTTTCCCCACACACTCAAATAATGTGTTGCCCAGAATTGATCAATATTGAGCCGCAGAAGAAAAACTGTCTGGCTGCAATGTCAAAGCAACGAACTCAAAGTCAAAACTGACAGCCTAAAATAATTTGTGGCCAAATTTAAAATATAAACACACACACACATAGTTATTTAAAACAAACGAGCAATTAAAGTCTACAGAACATACAAACAACAAAGCTAAACTCATTGCAGCGCTACATTCATTTCTTTTTCATATTTTTGCAATTGCAGCGAAAAAACATTTTATTTTCATTCTCATATCTACTACCAAATACTTATAAGCGCTTTGCTTGCTACCACAAAATGCAGAATGTTCAAAATTGTTAACAAATGCATTTTGGGAGTGTCAGCCAACACGATGGCGACTTGGCATTATTTCTATGTCACACACAATAGTAAATAAGTTACTGAGACAGTAGCAACAATAGCAACAATAACAGCGTTAAAAGTAATAATAAATAGTGCGGCAACAAACAAAAAATAATGAAAACAGCAAACGCAATGCAAATAAAACTAAAACACTTGTAGTGCGAAAATTTTTTGTCAACTTATTGTGCTTAGCTATGTTTTGACAGTGTATGTGTATTTGTATGTGTGTGGGTGTGTGTGTGTGTGTGTGTGTGTGTGTGATTGCTGTCGGAGCGGTGCGTGCAAATTCGCTCGACAAATGCAAATAGTACGAGCAGATGGAATCGAAATTCAAGCAAATTTAGTTTGCCCATAGAGCGACGGCCTTGGGCATCTCTTACGCTCCCCCGACTCGCTCACTAGCCGCGAAAAAAATAGCTCTTGTTACTAGTAATGTGTTGGTTTTCTAGGACTTAATAAATTCTTTGCAAATACGTTTCCTGACTAGTTGCAAGGCGGACGAAGCGACGCTCTATAGCTGTGGTGGTTTTCCTTTATGGAATATGTTTCGCCAATTTATTTAATTAGATATGGTTAAGAGAAGAATACAAGAATACAGCTAAATTAATATAAAAGTGTCCACCATAGCTGCGAGGGTTTTCTTTTATGGAATATATTTCGCCAATTTATTCTACATCGAATCAGATGTACAAGCTTTAAATGAGAATTAGATATGGTTACTATATTGCTTTATTAATTATTAACTTATTTTAACAGCCCATATAAAAGTTGATCCAATTTTAAATACAATGTTGATCTACAGCTTTTTTATTTCAATTATTTAACTGATATTATATGTCAAAAGCAATAATTTCTCCTGCGAGCATGTATGTACTCGTATTCTGAATAAGCTGTACATGTATGTACATGCAAGTCCGATTTGTTTTATGCGGCATTTGATTGCAACAAACCTGAATGTGGATTCGCACATGTGCGGGTGTGAGTGTTTCGTTTAGGTTTGCGCTCTTCTGCTCACAGCAGACGGGCCCGTTCGGCTTGCCAGCGGGAGAGTGTGAGCCAGATAAGCGAAATGATGCGTTCTATGGCATTAGAGCAATGGCATGAAGACAACCACAAACACACACACACATCGTACACATGACGAATGCGCTCAACAACAACAACAACATCAACTACCTACAAATAGACTGAAATGTATGTATAAGTTAAACTAAAGCTTTGGTCACGTAGTCAGCTGCGGCTGCGGCTGCGGTTGTCTGTTTGTATCGGAATGTGTGTGTGCGAGTGTGTGTGTGTGTGTGGCATTGAAAGTGAAAACTATTAGATAAGTGGAAAGCGCTAAAGTGTGGTCACACAATAGTCATGCCATATAGAGCTCTATATACATACATACATAACAGATATGTATATTCCTCACACGAGTATTGCGTGAATGCGCTGCACTTTGTTATAAAAATAGTAGCGCAGTAAGACGATAAATGTGTGTAGGTGGATAGGTAATTATAAAGCATGTATGACTCGACATTTTCAAGCCAATTATTCGTTGGAACTTTGAATGTTTAAAACTATTTTAAATTGATATTTCAATTGTTGTAAATAAAACCACAAAATTGTATGTGATTGTGAGTGTTTGCAAAAAGTAGTTTCGGATCTTCACAAAAGTATGCATACCAACTAGATTGAGTGTTTCAATAAAAACTGTGATCTGTAGGATTAGAGAAATCTATATGCATAGGCAGATGTATATATAAACATACGTATATATCCTGCAACGCCGACTTAAGGGGAAATTAAAAAAACTCCAAATATTTTAACAGACAATATACTTTAGAATACTTGTATCTTAGAATATTTTCTACAAAGGTATTATCTAAAGCATCAATATTTTAAGAAAATCCTAACTACCCAATTCGCAAACACAGGCAATTATAATGTATGTGATGGCCGAATTAAAAGCCTACATATATTATATATGTATGTAGATATAACTTGCCGAGATCAGCAATCAAGCAATTTCTTTTGCAACTCTGGCTTTGCATCGCTCACCTCTTTTTTTTTTTTGGATGTATACTGTTAATCGCTTTTCATATTTCTGGTCTGAGTTTTGTTGAGCACTTGAACTCGAAGCATTTAAACCAAAAAAAATTGATTGTTTGTGAGTTTTTGATTCTTGTATGCACTTTAATGCACACACAATTCCATAAGTTTTATTAATTGTACACTTTGTTATTTTTCATGGCGAACAGCAAAAAAAGAAACGAATAGTATTGTTTGTATGATTTAGTTTTAGCAAATTTCGGCATATTTTGTACATTTTGCGACGTTGACAGTGCAAACATTTTTTTTATTTTTTGTATTTTTTGTTTTTATTTTCTGCGTTATACTTTGCCTTCAATTCTGTTGCAATGTGAGGCCGCCAATGCGTTTAATTATACTACACATTTTTTATTATTAATTGTGTTGCTGCATCAGTTTTGATTTTGTTTGTGGTTTCGTTTATTTTGTTGTCGTGCGATTATTATTTGTGTTAACTAGTGTTTTATGCAAATTTTATTCAAATGCTTGGTTTTTTTTTTTTTTGAGATCTTTTTAGACACAATTCACACAAAATAGAATTTTGGCAATACAGAGCAAAGAAATCGTATTTTGAGGTAAAAAAAATGCACGCAAAAAAATGTAAAATAAACAATTATTAGAAATAGTAGAGACTACCGAAACGAGCGACCGACCGAACGTACCGACAAATTTGTTGTATTTAAGCTATTTTAAGTGATTATTATTTATTTACTTGTATTATAAACTTAGATTCATTGCAAGAGTGGGATTAAGTTGACGCGTTGGTGTAGGCGTAGGCGTTGGCGTGCGGCCTGTGCCTGGCAACGATTTAGTTTAATAATAATAATGGTATTTATTATTTTTGGATGTTGGTTGTCTTGCAGTTGTGAGAAAGTCAGCGACTACACTGAACGCCGGGAGCAGCAATCGGCGGTCAGGCAGCGGCAGCGTGTTGGATTTTTGTTGCGTTTGATGATTGCAAGCGTAGAAATTCAACTGAATTTGAGGCTAAAGAAGAAGAACGTATGTGGCTTGCTTGGTGCTCGGACTAGCGGCAGAACAGAACAGAGCAGAGCAGAGCACCACGTCGACGTCAAAGTCGACGCCGGCAGCGGCAGCAGCAGCAGCAGCAGAAGCATTAGTAGCAGTAGCAGTAGCGAGCACAAAAAGCGCATTAGGAGGCAGCCAGAGACGCAGTCGCAGTCGCAGTCGAATAAAAAGTACATACATACATATACATACAAATACATACAAACACAAAAGCACGCATCGTAGCCTAAACTATTCAGCGAAAATTTCGGCAATAGCAGCAGTCTGTGTGTGCGTGTGTGTGTGTGTGAATGGCTGGGTGTGAGCGAGAGAGCGAGTGCGCGCACGCTCTGTTGTTGTTTGCCCAGACAGGCGATCGGCGTGCGACGCTAGCAAGGATCGTTAGGGTTGTGGCTGCGGCTGCGGTGCGGAGCTGCAGGTATGTGTGTGTGTGTGTGTGCGTGTGTGTGCAGAGCAGCGTCTGCTTGAATGTGTGTGGGAGCGCAGTGGAATTGAACTTGAACTTGCTGTTGTGTATTAGAATGTCTGTGCTCTCCCTCCTCACAGGCAAAAGCCAAAAAAGTTTGGCACACACACGCACGCATACACAAGCATACACACACACTCGCACACGCAAAGTGCGCGTTAACTTGCAGCAGCGTTGCCGCCGCCGCCGCCGCCGGCGTCGTCGTCGTCCACGTCGCCGCGTCGTCATCATTGCCAGACACCCCAAAAAGCACACACACTACAAAACTTACACACAGACAGCGCACCAAAAAAAAAGTTTAAAAAGTAGAAAAAAAATGCGAAATAATTTTTGTGTGTGTGTTTTTTTTTTGTATATTATTGTTTGCATCAGGCCAGTGTCAAATTTGTCGCTCTCGCTCTTACTTGTGTGCTCATTTTTTTTTATACTTCATTATACACTATGTACCTACTACATAGAAATAGAAACAACTTTTGTGCATAGAACAAAACGTCGTTGCTGTTGCCGCCGCCGCCGCCTGCTGCCGCTGCTGCTGTTGCTGTTGCTGTCGTCTGCGTCTGCTGACTAATAATACACATAATGGCAAGAAAAAGCAGACAAAAAAGGTTGGCTGAGAAATAAAAAATTGCAAAAAATTAAAACTAACACCACTCCACACTTCTAGAGGAAACTTTGACGACGCCGTCGCCGTCGCCGCCGCCGTCGTCGTCGTCGCTGACACATTCAATTTGCATATTCCCATCGAACCGCTATGTATGTATTTAATTACCCGAACCCAGTGGCAGTGCCAGTGCCAGCGCCAGTCCCATACCCACACTTAGGCCCAGTCCCGGTCGCACTCCCAAATTATTATGCAGCTACCGCCCATGCTGTTGTGTTTGTGTGTGTGTGTGAGTGTGGGGTACTCGTAACGCCGGTTTAGCATTACCCAAGGCACCGTAAAATTTCATTTGAAGTCCAACAATTGGGTGGGAAATGCTCGAGTTTCTGCGCTTCTAATGCACCAAGCTAGAAAGTGCAGCGTGTGTTTGTTTCTTTGTAAGCGTGTGAGCAAAGTGCAATTTGACATGGTTATGGAACATATACATACATACATACATACATACATATGTATATTTATAGTATAGTATATATATACATAAATATAATTAATATGGTCAATAGTTTTATATTTCATTTCACATACAATGTTATTGAATTGGCTTGGCCATTCGCTTATGCACATGATTATACATAGTTATATACCCATATCGCAGTTGTATATTGTCCTGGGAATAGCGAAAAATGATCCCTACTTGTGGAATAAATGGCAACATTGTTCGACCTTAGCAACCGATGAATATTTGCTGTTGTGTGACTTGAAAATATTGTGCAAAACTCCTTTTAACAACCGATCGAAGGTATAGGAATCAGAGCGAGTTAATGAAAGAATTTCCAGACAAATTAATGGTTTCTTTTTTTACAGGTAGTTTTTCGTAGCATAACACCATATTTGAACATACTTAGAATTCTAATTGGTTTTGATTCAATTAAAGGGAAGAAGAAATAAGAAGAAAAAGTTCAAGCATAAAGTAAAGATTAGTAGAATTTTTATAAGTTTGAAAGCTAACTCGACAATTCTACACTAATACTCTACTAGCTATGTATATATTGTGTCTGTACTTTCCTTAAATCTAGTTTTGTAACATAGCGCATTTTTAGTAATTTTGAAGAGAAAGTCCCTTTTACTATAATATCATGTATTCACAAAATTAACTACGCTGTTCGAATGCCACAAATCCTGACCTATGTACGTGGCCAATTTGTTGTTGCTGGTAATTATTTCGTTTGATGTTTTTATAATTTTTATTATTATTGTACAATATTCATAGATTAATCAGCGCTTGGCACTTAAGCTTGATGTATCAGATATGAGAGTTCCGGGAATTTGGCAAAAAGCACAAAATGACTTTAAAACTCGGCCGGCAATACGCAAAATGACTATAAACCGTGGACGCGTTGTCGCCTTTTTTAAGAATAATATTTTTTTCCCGTTTCTTGGGCTAAAAATATTTATGCGCCACTACAAAATAGCAACAAATTTTTGCATTTTTATTTTAGCACTTTCTTTCATTTCATTTCGAATTGCTGTTGGTGCGTTTCTTTTTTCAAAATTTCAGCTGCTTTGTTTTGTTTCATACAATTTATTTTTTATTTCGTTTTCGTGTTTTTTATTATATTTTTTTATTTTAATTTTTTTTTTGTGTGCAAAAAACAAATCTTCGTAGTGTTTACGAACTTTCAAGGCTAAATACTACATTTTTGCGTTGTTTCTGTTGTTGTATTATTATTAAATTTTTGTTTGCTGCGCTCTCGAATTGGCCAGAGCGCCAAAGTGATAGAGAAGAGTGTGCCAGCAGTTGAGTGTGAGAGTGCGAGAGAGGGTGTGGTAGAGAGGTGCAGAGTGTTTTGTGTATCGGCGACGGTGGCTGCAGCGGTAGCGGCAGCGGCAGCTTTTAAAATAGTTCTAGAAAAAGTTTCTGTGCGCCGTTTCTGCCTGCCTGCCTGTGTGTGTGCGTGTGTGTGCGTTTTTGCACTGCATTTTTTGTGCTTTTTATTTTCGTTTATTTTCTATATATGCACAGACATATGTACCTACATATACACAAACGAAGTATTATTTGACGAACGTTGACTATAAAATACTAATGCACACAAATACGAATAAATAACGAAAAAAGCAAATGCGATTAGATAGTCGAGTGAGTAAGTAGTTTGTTTAGTTGGAAACTACATTTTGCTACAGGCTATGATTAAATTAATAGATTAGCTAACAACATTTTGAAATGCGGAGGGTTTGAACTAGAGGTGTGCGTGGGCCGTGATTTTTTATTGCACATACGAACGTGACTAAAAACAAACATCAAGTTGGGAAGACTTAAATATTTATGCACTCACAAACATACATATAACTGAAAGTGTCCATTTATGAAGATTTCGTTTGTTATTATCCTACTCAGAAATGCTTATTAATTTAAGCCGTAAATGCAAATCCATCTCTATATGGATCTTTTAATACATTTACGCATATAATCCAGAATTTTGCAAAACTATTGCCTCATTCGATTTGAATAATACGAGTGGCTGGATTTTAAAATGAAATGCAATGAAAACTAAGTTGTTAAGAACTATATTTTCAATGCATAGGAAAAGGTAATTCTATGCGTTGATATACTTGTATCATTGTTTTTCATTTTGCAATTATACCTCATAATATACATATGTAAGTACTATAAATTATCAAGCCCATTTATAGAAATTGAAAATCTACTATGTTTTATGCATTGCTTTAGATTTTGCATCTGGATCTCTTTCTATTGTCTTTCTATTATTCCACCCAATCCAGCAATGAAGGCAAAAAGTTCTCGTAATTTAGTTTTTTCAATCAATCTTTTTTCGCTTTTACAAATCACGTACTACAAGTATATGTATGTGTGTGTATATCCTGATTGTTTTTTAAGAACTTGTGGCTAATTGATGATTATGCCGAAAATAATATCCCTTATTTTTTATTTG